GGGAAAATGCTTATTCTTTTAGAAAATAGATGCAGAATTTTAGTTTAATGGTTATCGCGTACACCAAACTTCCAGACATGGCATAATTCTAAAGTAATAATTTTGTTAAATATTCACTAACCTTCTTCTCATTCAGCTTACAAAATCAAATATTCTCAATGTAGCTGTACAAAAACGTCTTATAATTCAAAGTTTCTTCATTCACTGCTGAGCTCCTGGCTTTTCCTCTGGTCCTAGATGCTAGACAAGACAAGGTCAAAGTTCTGTGAGTGATAGAGAGGTGAATCTGTGACTTGACTTTGAGAATTGCAGGTTTAGTAAGACTTGATTGGCACATATTCAAAATGGGATGAACTCTGTGCCAGATGAAGTGAGTTAGGCCGTGGGAAGTGAAGGAAGGAGTTCCCGCCCTTGGGAGCCTTACCACTAGCGGCCCTGACATGATGCAATACAGGAAACTATGCGAGAACAATTCCCAGACCATACAGATATTCCTATGTATAGATATTGATATGACTTATATGCTGACTAGATATAGTGAAAGTATATCTATTTATACATATAAAGTGTATGTCTGTGTGTGTATATAGTCTAATCTGCCTGGAGCAGGTGTGCTCTGGGAGCAGATCCATCTAGAATTCTAACCAGTCAAGCACCTGGAGATAATTTGGAAAAACAATGAAGAGCTGAAAATCTCTTTTACTTTGCTTTCCAACTTGCCAAACTTTCACTGAGCATCTATCAGGTTCTGGACATTGGAGACTACAGAGGAAAAGCAAAGAGCAGGCTCTCTTTGCATCGGCTGAGAGAAAGAGAGTTAACTGGATGAGTTTTCCCGGACATCTTCAAGCCTTGCCTGGTTCGGTTCTCAGAACAAGTGCCCATCAACTGCAAGGTGTTAGGAACGCACGGATTCCCTCCTGAGGGTCAGGAGCACGGCGCGTACTCTCTGAACTCTTCTCAGAGCCTCCCAGCTAGTTCTCCCACTTCCATTCTTGCCCTATGACAGTCTGGACTTCACACAGCTGTCCTTGACATTGGACACCAAGGTGGGGGGCAGTAGTTTATGGTGCTGAGTTGCATAAGTTCTTTTCTCTACGAGAGTTCATTAGAAATTCTTAAGGGCAGATGTGCCAAGTGTCCATGTGTCCTGTAAGAACCACGTGTACAGTAAGTTCTCACAGCCCCCTGTGCCTTCATTTCAGTTGCCACGGGTAGCCCTGCGGCTGAGGAGTTCACTGTGGATGTTGAGATCCGTCTTGAGAATGCGTCCTTCCTGGAGCCTATCAGAGCTTACTTAAACAGCCTCAGTTTTCCAATTCGAGGGAACAACACTGACCAAGTTACAGACATTCTGAGCATAGAGGTGACAACAGGTGAGAGACCGGCGGCTCTGGGATGGGCAGTTGGGCATCCTGGGAGAACAGCTGTCTGAGCCTCTAACTAGCAGAACGGTTCAGACTTAGTAGGCAGTGAAACGACTCAGCCTGATGTGTGATTTTCATGACTTCACGGCCTTCTGGGATGAAGCTCCTATCAGCAAACTCGGCAGCCAGAGTTGCCTTATTTTAAAGGTTGGCCATAGATTTGCTTGGTGTTTTGTATGATGGTTTGTCGTAAAATGATCCCAAGATATGGCCAGGTCTTTCATGCAAACTGCTGGGTCGTCCTCTCGTGGCCAGTCAGTGGCTCTAGCAAGGATTGATTCAGGAAATCAGGTAAGTAGCCAGTTTCCCTCTCTCTGGCATTTTAGGCCAGGAAATAGGAATTGGGTACATGCCTGGATCAGAAGCAAGGTATGAAACTGAACTTCCCAGGCCGTGGGCTGGACCTCCTGGTTGCTGGCTCCCTTCAAGGTCATGCGAGCTCCCCTATCACTCACGACTTGGTATCCCCTAGAAGCTGTGAGATGGGGCTGGCCCTTGTCCCATCAAAGATTATCACTTTGTAAATTAGAAAGCTGTACAGGTGTTAGGTTTTATCATTCTAACATAAGGGCAAGAATAAAATTCTTATTTCTCAAATTGTTTTTGAATTCTTATATTTCCAACAGTCTTTCCCAATGCTAGTCTACACATTTTAATTTTTGATTCTTCATATATGCTATTTGGACCAGCCACAGCTCCCTCCTTGCTGCCTTTGGATGCCGTTTCCCACCAAATTCTACCATTAGCATTGATTTCCCTGGGTTGGTCATTCTCCACTTGGATGCCAGTGTGCACTGTAAGTCCTCCAGCAGCAGCAAGCGTGTGCCGTGCTCCCTAAATGGATTCACCCACAGAACTCTTTGTCCATGAGACATCTCACAAATAGGGCACTCGGGAACATACGTAGGAACATCCTTCTACCTTCCTCCTCGGCATAGATCTTTTGCCTCTAAAATAAATTATTGGATAGAGTTTTACTCAATTTTGTTTTGTTTTGTTTTCAATTTTTGGCCGGGGCTGGGTTTGAACCCGCCACCTCCGGCATATGGGGCTGGTGCCCTACTCCTTTGAGCCACAGGCACTGCCCTGTTTGCCATTTTTTTATGCAAGCCTTTGGCATCTATGTGGACTAGTAAGCAAATCCAATAAACAAAATAGACCAATAGGTATCAAATAAATAAAAAAGGTTTTTCTTGAACAGCATGTGAGTATAGACACTTGAGTCTCATAGACTAGTTGTGAGATTATCTTGTATATGCTCAATTTAGATGTATTAACAAACTCTCTCCAATTTATTTGGTTTGACTAGAGGGGGCATGAATTCAAAAGGCTCCACTAGGCTGGGTGCAGTGGTCCACACCTGTAATCTCAGCACTCAGGGAGGCCAAGGCCAGAGGATTGCTTGAGGTCAGGAGTTGGAGACCAGCCTGCTAAAGTAAGACTCTGTCTCTACTAAAAATAGAAGAAGTGGCCAATGCAGTGGTGGGTGCCTGTAGTCCAGCTACTCGAGAGGCTGAGGCAGGAGGATCACTTGAGCCCATGAGTTTGAGGTGGCTGTGAGCTAGGCTGAGGCCCTGGCACTCCAGCCCAGGTAATAGAATAAGCCTCTGTCTCAAAAATGAAAATAAAAACAAAAATGAAACTCCCTCCAAAAGGTTCCACTATTTAAACTATTTCAGAACTTGAGTTAACAAGTTTCTCAATGAAAATGCCAGTGCCCCTGGAAAGTTTAATTGATCCTTCCAGAAAGACTGGTCATTTGCACATTAGGGAGTGAATCTTTCGTGATAGCAAACTGTGGAAGGGAGTTGACAAAATGGATGCTTCAACGTGACAGAGGGAGCCTGAGGCACATGGACCCCAGGTCTGCAGGGAGCAGCGGGCAGGGCTGGCCTCCCAGAGGAGCTGAATGAGAGGGCCAGGGCCCCACCATGGTCCTAATGTCTGGGCACCCCAAACTTGCGCCATCCCCCTTTCCTATGGTTCCCTTCCTCCATTTTTCCAACATCTGGTCTCACAATTCTTTTTGGTAACATTAAACAAGACTGAGGAAGTTTAAGGCCAGACAGTCTGTGTAGAGCACTAAACAATACCTGTGGTGTGGAGGGTGGTCTGGCTTTTGCATTTTACTTGGGAATCAAAAGTTTTCACCTTCCCACAGAACAAAAACCTACAATGGCAACATTGCATTAGCAGCAGAATTGCAGGTCAGAGAGAGATTTTGACAAGGGAGATCCCTGTTGGCCACCCTCAAATTATCATCCGCTCTTACACTCAGATGTCTTCTGTTCCCAACCCTCTGCCACATGCCCACCTCCAGCTGGGACACAGCTGGCACAGTGGCTGAGGAATCTCTGGAAGGTGGCTGCCCCTCCTTGCTTGGGGCAGTCACGCTATGGGACTTTGCCTGGGCACCTATTTACAGACAAACAGTTTGTGATGATGTGATTTTTAATCCAGATTTAGAAGGTGACTCAAAGTGCTCTGTTCTCAGGGCACTGTCAACGTCCCAGTGAGATCAGAGCGCATCTTAGGCTGTTCACATTTGACTCAAAAAGTAAAAGGCAAAATTTACTCGCACACTGCGTTTATCTATTACTGTGCAGCAAATTATTCTAAAACATAGCAATGTAAAACAACAAGCATTTATTTACTACCTCACAGTTTGTAAGGGTCTGAAATCCTGGAGCATGTTAGCTGGATTGTTCTGGCTGAGGGTCTCCCATGAGCTTGTGATTAATCTGTCAGCCTGAGTGGGAGTTATTCAGGGGCTGGAAAACCGCTCCCAAGCTCACTCACATGGTTACAGGCAGGCCTGGGTTCCTGCAGGCCTTCGTCCATGCCACGGCAGCCAGTGTTCCCCAGCACGAGTGTGCGTGTGAGAGAGAGACAGATACGGGGGAAAGGGAAAGAGAAAGAGGAAAAGAATGGGCAAAAGGGAAAGAGAGAGAAAGAGGGAGAAAGGGGGAGGGAGGGAGAGAACATGTGGGCCCTCCACCAGGAGGAAGGCTACAATATCTTTGATCACCTAATCTCAGAGTGCCATCCTGTCACTTGTTGGTCACTTGTCAAAGTGTGAATAGGGGTGTAAATACCTGGAGGCAGGGGTGCTCAAAGGCCATCTCGGAGGCTGGCTACCATGCACTCGATGTCCAAAAATCTGTTTTTCATCATGGACACCTGGTGGCCATCAGCTATGAGGCACGGCCACCTAAAGATGACTTAACAGCCATCTGTCACTCAACATATCTTGCAGATGGTCACAGCTCATAGCATGGTGGGGCAGACGGGCCTACATCGCCTGCGTGAAGTACTATTGAGCTTTCCAGAAGGGTGAGATGGAGCTGAGTTAAGATTTTGATAAGTATAGATCTCTGCAGGCTCTAAGTGCAAAGATGGTGACCCCCCCTCCTCTCCCCTCACTGTTTTGGCTCCTGGCAGTCTGCAGCCCTGCTGGAAATGAGATCTGGTGCTCCTGTGAGGCAGGCTACAGCTGGCCCCGGGAACGGTGTCTCCACAATCTCACTTGTCAAGAGCAAGGCAGCTCCCTCCCAGGGCACCAATGCAGTTGCCTTAAAGAAGTGCCTCCCCAGGGACCTTTTTGCCAACCTCAGCGAGGTAAGTAATTGCTCGTTAAATGTTTGTTGAGTGGCTATTCAACATCAGCTTGCAAATGTTTCTCTGTTTCACTGATAGGAGTTTTTTTAATATTGCCCTGTGTTTTCCAGCAGATGTTACTCTGAGAATGTCAGTGAGACTAAATGTGGGCTTTCAAGAAGACCTCAGGAACACTTCCTCTGCCCTCTACAGGTCCTACAAGACTGACTTAGAAACAGCGGTATGTGTTGGCCCCAGGAGCCTCTTAACCAACAGACCGTTTGAGCTGAACTGAGTTCATTGCATTCACTGTGAATGGTTTGCTTGTATCTGTCAGAATTTATGAATGTGGCTTTGAAATCATTTACATCTAGGATGGTGAATCAAGAAGTGCTCAAATTAAACAGCCTGCAGGGGACAATGTGATGTCCTTGACCTCTAAGTAGAACAATTCTCAAAGCAGAGCTGGCTCAGATAAGATTTGATGGCATCAATTCACTGAAATCTTTCAGAGGGCTGAGAACCTAGCCTAGAAGCCCCGGTTGGTGCATTTCTATTCTCACACCATGTGGGCGAAACTCCTAACATCTGGGCAGACCAACCCCAAGTTGAGCATAGAGGGTTCAAACCACCCTACACTAAGAAGTCTCTAGGCGTTCACACTTAAGACATTTAAATTTACTCACATCTAAATAGAGACAATGTCATGAATGTCAACTGTTTGCCAGGCCCTGTTCTAAGTGCTTTTCTTTGGATTAATTCACCTAAAACCAAATGCATTGCCTGAGTTAACTTACTGGGAGCAGAGCTCCCTAACTAGAGTGGCACCTGAGATGGTGCCTTCGCTTGCCTCTCCTGGCAGCCTGGCCCTGCCTCTGTCTGTGAGCTGCCTCCTGCTTGTCCCAGTATGTCACCCACAAACTGTCATTGTCCACGTGTGCCTTGAGGAAGAGCTGTTTGGGAAGAGCTCTCGGACGTGTGGTGTGCACATCTGGTTTGAAATATTTCTGCACAGCACGGGACCCCCTCCTGACCCACACCACACATTAGATGACATACGTCTAAGGGAAGTGACCTACTTACCCACCTGGGTTCCTGGCACAGTGTTCTGTGCTTGTTGCTGCCCTGTAAATGTGAATTGAGTCGAATAGAATCACCTGGGGAGGTGGTGTTCGAGGAACAAAATGGAGTAAAACCATCATCTAAATTCACACTGGCTTAACCAGCACCACAGTGTGCCCAGGGAGGGGCCGGGCAGTGTGGTGGCCTGGACACTGTCCCTGCAGACCTCCAACCCCAGAGCATGCAGCTGAGCAGGGCCCCGGCTGCAGCCTCGGAAACTGTGACCACATGTGCTGCTCACTGCCAAGAACGGGCTCCGCGCTGACGTGGCTGGCAGACCCTGGGACTCCTCAGGAGGTCCCACTGAACCTTCCCAAGCTCCGTAGAGGATGCTTGTTTTTATTTTGTGGGGGACAGAGTTGCACTATGTCACCCTCGCTAGAGTGCTGTGGCATCATAGCTCACAGCAACCTCAAACTTGGGCTCAAATGATTCTTGCTTCAGTCTCCCGAGTAGCTGGGACTATAGGCACCCACCACAATGCCTGGCTATTTCTTTTCTTTTCTTTTCTTTTTTTAGCAGGCAGGCCTGGGGTTGAACCCACCAGCCCTGGTGCATGTGGCTGGTGCCCTAACCACTGACCTACAGACGCCAAGCCCAGGATTTTTTTATCTGCCCCATTTTACCCTTTGTTTCACTAGAGGGTTTGATGACTCTCCCTACCTTCCCCACTCCCTCCTCTTCTCTCTTCTCCTCTTTTGCTCTTTTTGTCTGGTGTCTGCTTCTCAGACAGCCCAGACTGATATAAGCTGTTAGGAGTTACTTCTTCAAAGACCTGCTGGGGCCAGCATTGTCCAGGGTGATGAGGATGATGTGCTTTTTACTGCTTCACCTCTCTTGCTGGCCTTAATACATGACATTGGTCTTGCTTTATTTTCCAGTTCCGGAAGGGTTACAGCATTTTACCAGGCTTCAAATGGGTGACTGTGACAGGGTTCAGGTAAGAATGCTGTCTAAGCTGGTCATTTCTATTTAGTGCAGTAAAGGGAGAAACCCCATTAGAGAGGCATTGTGTGGAGTGTTCAGCAGGAGCAGTTTGGTGGCTGTGAAGACTTGTGCCCCGTAGCAGGGGCTTCAAGGGAAGGGGTGCTAAGAGAGTGGCTCACCCCCTGCACCTGGACCTCCTTAGAAGGAAGAAAAGAAAGTGACTTGTGTTCATTCGGGTAGCATTTTGCAAACAAAAAGATGGCATGGGTTCGTAGTCTAGAGAGTTCAGAAATGTAGAAAGGAAATGACTGTCACGATGATGCCTTGGCACAACAAGCTTCCCCAGCCAGTCGGGACCATGGAGCTTCATGCTATGGCCATGAATGGTCAGTCCCCCGGATGTGGGTGCCCTGGTAGCCCTGAGTATTTTTGCCCAGTGTTTCAAAGACTTCGTGGCCAATCTTAAAAATCAGGAATGTGTACAAGAACATCCAGGTCTGGCATCACGTAACATTCAGTCTGGTAACCCCGGGCCAGCACGCTGTGCATTGTGGCTGCCTCCCTACAACTCAGTTCACTAATCCCCACCTGACTGTTCACTTATGCTACCCGACTGCAGACGTTTGGGGATGCAAGCCCTGTCTTGGGCTTTCGCCTAGAGCTGGAAAACAGGCTTATTTCAGGGAGCCCCTCTGAGTGAGAGGACCCAGGCTGTCCCTGCTGTCTTGTTTTTCCTTATAAATAAACCATCTAGATTTCTCTGGACAGTTACTGCTTTCCTGAACTGAATGGTGTCTTTCCAGGCCTGGGAGTGTGTTTGTAACTTATGAAGTCACGACTACGACAGCATCACCTGAGTTAATGCACAAAGCCAATGAGCAGGTCATGCAGAGCCTCAACCAGACCTACAAAATGGACTACAACTCCTTTCAAGTGACCAGTAGTAAGTAAAACTACCAAGATACGATGTTGGTCAGATAACTACAGTGAGCAAGTTCTGTGTCTAAAAAAAAGACAGGATGATGGGGTTCATTGTCATGTGTGAACCTAGGAAACTGCCTTACATTACAGTGTCCTCCGTGGAGAGAGACTCTCCAGCTCCCTGCTGGCACGGAGGGTAGCAGACCATCTCCCCCCCTTAAATCAATGGCTCCCAACCTGGCTAATGCTAATGCCAGGTTCCCTCCGTTACAGGGAAGACGAGGGCGAGGACTTTACAAGAGACCCACAGAGTCATCTGGGTTTGTGGATTTTTGAAATTAACAGATCCAAAATATCCCGAACCGTGAAACTAACATTATAGTGAGAATGGAGTTATTCACAAAATGTGCTGGTACTAAGTAGAAGGCCATTGTTTTAGAGCAGTGGGTCTCAGAGTGTGGCCCCCAGACCAGCAGCATCAGCACTGCCTGAAAACTTGTTGGAGATGCACATCTTGGCCCTCCCCACCCCACCGACCACCAAGGCCTGTCTGTGTCGCAACAAGCCTTCCAGGTGATTCATTCTCTGCACAAACACTGCTTTAGGTCACTAGACCCTGGGAGGGGTTATATATTCTGTCCTATTTTACAAATGGCATGCAAGGTGCTCGCTTCGGCAGCACATATACTAAAATTGGAACGATACAGAGAAGATTAGCATGGCCCCTGCGCAAGGATGACACGCAAATTCGTGAAGCGTTCCATATTTAAAAAAAAGAGAAAACAAATGGCATGCAAGGATGGGTTCTGTTGTCTTCATAGGTAGATGAACCTACTACTTGTTGGGTGGTAAGGAAAACCCAGCAGACAGAGATTTGATGGGCAGGATTGGCCTGCAGTGCTCTGGGTAACTCAGGTCTGCAGATCTGGAATGTCCATGGTTCCTCTTTGGAGAGGGCACTGAGAGGGCTATTGCTACACGACTGGAAGAAAGAGCCCCTCTCACTCAGGTGTTGGGTCATCGTCATAGCAGGTTGATATGTTTTCTGCTCATAGTCTCTGCTGGTCTTTATAGACAGCCGGTCATTTTAAACATACTATATTAGAAGTGATAAAACTAGCTGAGGAAACCGTAAGCGATACATACAATGCTTAAGAATGTGCTACAACATAAACAAGATACAATAGCAAAACAAAATTTTAAAATAGATAAGATAGAGAACCATAAATAAACCCCAGAAAATTAAAGGGAAGGGAAGAAGTGGTGTGAACACCTACGCTCAAGCAGGCGCTATCTCAGCAGTGCTACCTGGCCAACCACGAGATGCACTGTCATTGTCTTGAAAAATTCTTTTTATTTATGATTCTAAGGAACTATGAGAATAGAATTCTTTAGTATAACCCTCAATTGTGATTTCGCTTTCCCCAAATGCAGTCAGCCATTTGAATGAATAAGTATCTAGCATTTCTGCTAATCAGGTGGTCAGCCCCGAAACACACTGCTGATGGATGTGTCTAGTACACATGGTATCTTCGGCCATTTGTGTGGCTGTTAAAGAATATTTGAGGCAGGGTAATTTGTAAAGAAAAGAAGTGTGTTTGGCTCACGATTTTGCTGACTGGAAGAGGGGCATCTGGGGAAAGCCTCAGGCTGTGTCTGCTTATAGCAGAACGTGGGAGAACGAGGGGGAGGTGTGGGAGAACACATTCCGGTTGTTTTAGATGAAATAATATTTACTGTGTCTTTTTGTTAATCAATGATTGTGGGAAAATACATAATCGCTACAAAACTCATTGTGCCTAACTTTGTTCTTGCTAACCTGCTATGTGACTGTGACTGACATAAAATAAAACACCAGTGTGGGAAATATACAACAAAGACATCTCAAAATATAAAAGGAACAGGTTATCTATGACAGTGGCGAAAGTCACTGACCTATAACACAAGATAGGGCATGTAAAACAATAACAAAGTTACAGTTACAGTTATAGTTTTGTGCATACATGGCACAAAAATAAGGCATATACGTTAGCAGCAACAGTTACAAACATATACACAATAAAATAAGTCATTAGCTGGACAAAAATAACTGAGGCAGAGATTAGTCAGACTACCAGTGTCAAACTACATGTTCCCCATACTAAAATACATTGACTCAAAAAACAGTCACGTCGATACATCTTGCTATAAACATTATAACATTTTTGCAACTTTTTCTTTATAGTCCTTTGACTTTCTAAAAATACCTGTTAAAACTGAGAGTTGAGGCCACACTTTGATAATGTCCAGCCCCCCATGAGCCTTGGTTATGTTATGCCAAATAATCACGTCTTCACTCTGCAGAAACCTCAAGGCTTTACCCCACTGCAGGTTGCCTCAGCAGAAGGTGAAGGGGAGCAGAGATCACATAGCAAGGGAGGAAGCCAGGGAGACCAGAGTGGGGGCGGATGCCAGGCTGTTTTTAACAAGCAGCTTTCAGGAATGAATAGAGCAAGAATTCACTCACGGCCTCAAGGAGGGCACCAAGTCATACCAGAAGGAAAACATGACTCAAACATCACCTCTAATACTGAGGATTAAGTTTCAACATGAGAGTTGAGGGGAGAAGACATCCAAGTTATAGCACTTAGCTCGTTGTTCTAAGAGCAATGAAGTCCTGGTGAAAGTCACTCACCCTACCCCAGGGCAGAGGGTCTGCGACCTCCGTTCTCCTTCACAATCAGAATGGGAGTCTGTGATGTGCACAGCCTCAGACTAATAAACAGGAACTTCCACTAAGCACAATTGCACAGAGCAACTTGGACACCATCCCGCCTGCCACAGTGTTGGTGTTATTGACCAGAACACATCTAAAATGTCTTGTGATTGAGTTCTTAAAAAGATTATAATCATATTTGGGGAGTGAGGATAGAAACAGAGCTAACAAGAAGGAAACCTGTTGAAAGAGTGAGTTGGTATCAGGAACTTATTTTTAAGTTCTTCTTTGTGAAACCCAAAAGGCACATTATGGCAATTTTCACAATCCATTTATTTTATTACATAGTAACCCTTAGATGATATTTGACTAATCAGCCAGTCTCTTAACCACAAAAGACCTTTCTTTAATCATTCCTGATAAATTTATGTTCAATTTCATCTAATCACATAATACTGGCAGTTCATTTAACTGCATCTTTTCTGTATTCATCCCAGTGTGTTTATATATATTTCATCTTCAGAGATCCTGTGAAGTAGATACTATTATTCCCATTTTACAGATGAGAAAATGGAGGCTTAGGGAGGGTAAATACTGTGCTCCAGGACGTATCATAAGAAACATAAGTCTGTGTGACTTCAAAGCCAGTGCACTTCAGTAAATATTCAAAAAGGCCCTGCTTCCTAATAGATAAGTGTGATTTTGAAAAAATATTATTTTAACCCAGGGCCTAAAAAGAAGTATAAGAAATATTTATATAGCTTGATATTTTGACTAGAACATCATCATACCACCCAAATTAATTTTATGATGTTTTATTTCCATATTTAGAATAGGAGGTCTGGCCCTAGTGAGTATAAAGAACTAGGCAAACAGGCTCCTGGAGCCCCCTCGCCCCAGCCCCCCTGATTGTCCCAACACATAGAATTAGTGAAGAACCTGGCACAAGCAGCGCAGCTTAGAGAGGAAAAACTGCATGTTGTGTAAGCCAAGGGCACCCCTAAAAACAGGTATAAAATGAACCAATATTGTGTGTTTATCTGTGATATGGCGAGACAGTGCTTCTATAGATTTTTACGGCCAAAACAATTATAGCAGCTGTAGCTTCTCTGAGTCACTTCCCAGGGTAGCTCTCCAGACAAGGGAGCAGAGACTTAGCCAGGCTAAGCCAGCTCCCCAGGGCCCCACAGTTACCCGTGGGACAGAACCAGGATCAAATCCAAACTCATCTATAAAACTCCCACAAGTAAAGACCCATGGGCATTAGGTCTTTAAAAAAAAACTGTGTTTCCCAAGTAGATTTTATTTATTATGAGTAATCAATTTGTTTTCCCATTTCTAACTCATCAGAGAAATGAGTTAGGGTCTTCAGGGAGTATAGATATCAGTTTTATGGTAAGGAACAGTTGATATTATTCAAGTCAGAGGCAGCGAAATGATGTGTAAGTTCCTTGTGAGGCTTCTTCATGAGCAAATGTGCAATTTTTTTCCAGACTTTTCAAAATGCTGAAAGGCTCTTTGGAATCCCCTTTGCTGCCATTAAAGATTCTTCAGTGTCCTTAAGACACACGATGAAAACCCTGTCCCTAGTATCTCCCTAGTATCTGGCAGGTTACAACTCCATGGGCCTCAGGCGCTAGCAGGATGGGATGGAGTAAGGGACATGTCGTCTCATCCTGTACAGCACCACAGGTGCCGTGGGGACCTCGCAGAGCCTGAGTGTGGCATCTGGGGAATAACCTCAATAACATCTATGTGCTTTGGGATCGTAACACCTTTTCTTTGGGTCTCCAGATGAAACTAAGTTCTCCGTCATGCCACAAGTAATATTTGAAGGGGATACGGTCAACCTCACGTGTGAAAATGAAGTGTTGTCTTACAACGTGTCCTGGTACCACATCGAGCGGCGCTTTGACATCCAGAACAGCAGCAGATTCTCAATTTCCACCACCGTGCTCAACAATATGACCTCGGTCTCCAGCCTCACCATTTACAACATCACCCAGGGAGACGCAGGTGGGTCACCGCCCAGGAACCTGTGTGAGGAGTGGGATGCAGGAATCCAAAGGAGGAAATCCTACGAGATGCAGGCGCAGTTTTGCTCTTCAAAAAAAGAGATGTCCTGGCTCAGCATTTCAGGATTGAAAATTAATCCCGTGGCAATTGTTGTGAATGAATTACAAAATTAAGTACTTAATGCTCATTATTCTTAGCATATACTATTATTTTTTATTAATTAATTTAATTTTGTTTCCTTCCCCTGCTTAATTCTCTCCCTTCCTCCTTCTGGTTGAAATGGCCAGAGAGTGGCTGATGGACGGGATGTCTCTGAACAACCATCTTGGAGCCCATCCCCCATTAATTTAATTTTCCATCAGTTTTAAAAAAATGTTAGGTAGCTTTGAATTGATGGATGATCAACTACACATATTGAAAGTATGCGGTGTACTAAGTTTTGTGGGGTGGATGTAAAACCATCCACCACAGTCAAGGTAGTGAACATATCCGTCACCCCCAGCCCAGATTTTCTTGACCCCCGTTGTAATCTCTCTCTTTCTCTGCCTTACTGCCCACTCCAAACAAGCACACAAGAGGGTCTTAATTACTCACTGAGACTAGTGATGAAACCGGCACATTCTAGAATTTAATAACCTCACTGTAACCCAGACATTTACAGGGCCAGGAACACCTGGGCCCTATCACACCTCTGTTGACTCTGATTTTACCACATGATTCAATGAGACGCCAGCATTACCCACGGTCTTCCAGTTCTCCAAGGCTTTCTGATCTTTCTTTCTTACACTTATTTTTCTTCCTAGCAAAGTCCCTGAGAGCTCTATTATCTCTTAGAGCATCCCTCTACTCGACCTGTGGCATCAGGCACGTCGATAATCCCTGAATTTTTTTATTTAGTGCTGTTTAGGCAGAGTCGCAGATGCTTTTGAAAATGATGCTTTTTGAAGACGGTCATGACACCTGAGCCGAGGCTACATTCCTCTAAGGAAATGCATACTCGTAGTAACACTAAATGATTTTGTGCATCCCGTGCAGGTGAATATGCTTGCAAGCTGATATTAGATATCTTTGAATATGAGGCCAGAAAAAAAATCAATGTCACGTCCATCCAAATTTGGGCAACTGAAGAGATGAAGGTGATATGTGACAACAATCCTGTGTCTCTGAGCTGCTGCAGTGAGAATAATGCTAATTGGAACCAAGTTGAATGGAAGCAGGAAGGAAAAATCAGCATCCCAGGTGAGAATGGGAGACAAGTCCTTTTGCAAATAGCTTTCTGTCTCTTGGCTGAGTAAACTTGGGAGATGCGGTGGGTGGAGGGGGAAACTTAGATTGTGAAAAGGAATTAGGTTTGATGCCAGCTCCTGCTTACTCACTCCAGAGCAAAACTCCCCAAATCACGCATACAAGTATGACGCTTTTGCTGCAGACAAGCTCCCAGGAGCAGAAGACGCAGGAGGGGATGATCTCAGTGACTTAAGTCTAACATATCACATCTCTCCATGGAAAAAGCTTGTCCCCACCCTCTTTTCTGTCTTCAGCAAAGAGCTAACAATGAGGTCGCTGACTTTTCATTGAGGTCTTTCTTGAAGCTTCTCATTTTTGCATCTCTTCCATGGGTGTCCATCCTTCTCAGTCCTCTTTTTACCCAGATTACCTAGATATTTTCTCTCTGTGTCTCCAATTCTATTTCTGTCTGTGTAGATCTGTTTATCTCTCAAATGTTTCATGTTAATTTCTGATCCGGTTTGCTTTCATTTTAAGATATGAAATCTTACCTGAAGTTACCTATCTCCAGCTTATACGATGAATGATAATAAAAATAATAAATTAAAACAGCAATGCTGATTCTGTTTTGTACAACAGTTTATGATTAAGCCACTTTTTAAAAGTATGTTTAAAAGTATCTCCCAGGCACAGTGGCTCACACCTACAATCCTAGCATTCTGGGAGGCATAGGCAGAAAGATTGCTTGAGGTCAGGAGTTTGAGACCTGAACAAATGTGAGACCCTGTTTCTACCAAAACTAGAAAAAATTAGCTGGGCACAGTAGTGGTGCATCTAAAGTCCCAGCTACTTGGGAGGCTGAGGTAGGAGGATCACCGGAGCTGAGGAGTTTGAGGTTTGTAGTGAGCTAGGATGATGCCTACATTCTAGCTGGGGCAACAGAGAGAGACTCTGTCTCAAAAAGGAAAAATTAAAAATATGTTAATTGCTTTTAATCATATTTAAACTTGACCACAAGTTTGAAGCTGGCATTTTTTACCTCCAATTTATAAATAAGGAGATGAGGTTTGGATTAAATGACTATTCAATGTTGTCACAATATATATTTTTTTTTATTTCTTATAGCATAGCTGTGTACATCAATGCAATCATGGGGTACAGTATGCCGCTTTCATATATATTTTGAAATACTCTCATCAAACTGGTTAACATAACCTTCAAGTCATTTTCTTAGTTATTGAGTCAAGACATTCATACTCTAATTTTAGAAAGATTCATTTGTACCCTTGTAAGATAAACCATAGAGGTGACCCCACCCATCACCCTCCCCCCATCCACCCCCTTCACCTCCCCTCTTCCACCCCCTTCCCATATTCTAAGGCTATAATTAAGTTATGACATT